CATCTTCCTCCACTTTATATGGGATGCCGCCACAGCATGGCCTGACAAGTGGTGCGTTGGTACACGCCCGGGATGCGAACCGGTGAACCCCGGGCCGCAGCAGCGGAGCGCGCGCACTTAACCACTTGCGCCACCGGGCCGGCCCCACCTCTTTTTCTTTTAAATAATTTTTTATGTATCTAGCTCAGATTTTTTCCATATGTCCCATCAGATCTGTAAAATACTTGTTCATATTATTTCTCAAATATTTAAACATGTCAGAGACTTTATCAGTTTTTTTCCTCTGGAGACTGTTCTGCAGTGTTTTCCATCCTCCTACTTCAGTCACGACAGGTTGTTTCTGGGTCTGTGGCATAGCTTTAATTCCAAGATTTTCTTTTACCACTTTTGTGTGTGGCTCCAGCATCCCATTGCCTAGATCTATTGCCTTTCTCTTTCCTATTTACCAGAGCACATCTGGTAGTAACCTACTTGGAAAGATAGGTAAAAATTTTGACTCCTCACATATCTGAAAGATGTCTACATTCTACCTGTATCTTTTATTGATTGTTTGGCTGGTGTAGAATTCTGGGTTAATGATCATTTTTCTTCAGAATTTTAAAGGCACTGCCATATTGTCTTCTATCTCCCAATACTGTATTGAGATGCCATTTTGATTCCTGTTCCTTTTTTTCCCTCTCTTTTTGAAAGCTTTTAGGATCTTCTATTCTTCCCTAATATTCTGAGATTTCACAAAGATGTGTCTTGATGTCATTCTTTTTCTTTCATTGTGCTGGGCACATAGCACACTATTTAATCCAGACAGACTTGTTCAATTCAGGAAATTCTTCTTGTATTTCTTTTATAATCTCTCTCCCTCTCTCATACCATGTTTTCTCTTTTTGGAACTCCTATTAATTAGACATTGGAGTATTTGGCTTGATTTTGTAATTTTCTAATTTCCTATCTCTATCTCTGTTGGCTCTTGCTCTTGGTACCTTGTGCCTTATTTGTTTGCAATTTTGACCACAATTTATATTTCTTGGAACTGTATCGGTGGAATTTCCCCAAGGCCTAGATTGAAGATGAGCTCATCTGGAAAGGATTTCCATTGCTTCTGCTGGTGCTCGGTGGCACTGTCAACCCAGAACCACTTTAAATTCTTGCCATTTTGTTTTTAGAACCAACAAGGAATTCAGGCAGAAAAGCTGTGGTTATAAATTCTCCACAAATATTTAAAAGGAAAAAAAAAAAAGATTTCCAGTAGGCACCTAGGTTCCAGAAAAGCAATTTTCTATGCCCTAGGTGTTTGAGTGTTAGCATATTTTAAATCCACTCTCACAGGAGGATATAGTCCTTTGGGGTTCCAGCTCTATGGTAAGAGCCTTCTATTAGATTTCCAACCTTGGGCAAGCCCTGGACTTTGTCTCCTATTCCACAGCGGCACTCTCTGAGGCCACCACGCCTAAATTCAACTTTTTAGCAAATGCCCTCAAGGCAAAACAGGCTTCAGTGCTCAGCTTACCTCTCTGGTACCAGATTTTACTTAGTTTTTGGTCTTTATATAGTCTTTATTTTCTTGCCAGCTCATAAATACATCTTTTTAAATGACCTTTTAGGCAAAGGACCTAGAATTGTTAACAATTTTGAAAAAGAGTAAAGTGGGAGAATTGATCCTACCCAATGTTAAGCCTTACTATATAGCTACAGTAATTAAGAAGTGTGTTATTCGTGGAAGGATAGACATATAGATCAATGGAACCGAATACAGAACCCAGAAATAGACCCGCACAAATATGCCCAACTGATTTTTGAAAAAGGTGCAAAAGCAATTCAATGGAGAAAGCACTGCTTTTTCAACAAATGGTCCGGGAGCAATCAGACATCCATAGACAATAAAATGAACCCCGACCTATACTTCACACCTTACCCAACAATTAACTCAAAATAAATCATAGATTTACATATGAAACATAAAACTATTCAACTTTTAGAAAATAAAATAGGAGAAAATCATCAGGATCTGGGGCTAGGCAAAGAGTTCTTAGACTTAACACCGAAAGTGTGATCCATAAAAGGACAAGTTGATAAGCTGCATCTTAAGAAAACTAAAAACCTTTGATCTATAAAAGATCCTATTAAGAGGATGAAAAGACAAATGATACACAGGGAGACACTACTTATTTGACAAAGAACTTTAGAATATTTAAAGAACTCTCAAAACTCAAAAGTAAAAAAATGAACAATCTTATTAGAAAATGGGCAAAAAACACGAACAGACCTTTCACCAAAGAGGATATACAGATGGCAGATAAACACACTAAAATATTTTGACATTATTAGCCATTAGGGAAATGAAAATTAAAACCACAATGATATATCACTACACACCTATCAGAATGGTTAAAATAAGATATAGTGACAACATCAAATACTGGTGAGGATGTGGAGAAACTGGATCCTTCATACGATACTGGTGGGAATCAAAAATGGTACAGCCACTCTGGAAAATAGTTTGGCAGCTTCTTATAAAACTAAGCATGCAATTACCTTACTACTCAGCAATTGAACTCCTGGGCATTTATCCCAGAGAAGCAAAAATTTATATTCACACAAACCTGTACATAAATCTTCATAGCATCTTTATTTTTAATAGCCCCAAACTGGAATCAGCCCAAATGTCCTTTAACTAGGTAAATTGTTAAAACAATTTGTGGTGTATCTACAACATGGAATACTACTCAACGATGAAAACTATTGATACATACAAAAACTTGGATGGATTTCAAGAGCATTATGATGAGTGAAAAAAAGATCCGGTATTAAAAGGTTACATATAATATGATTCCACTTATGTAACATTCTTGAAATAAAGTTATAGACATGGAGAACAAATTAGTGGTTGCCAAGGGTTAGGGATGGGGGTGGGTATGGCTATAAAGGGGTTGCACAAGGGAACCTTAGAATAATGCAATAGTTCTGTTCCCTGACTGTGATGATGGTTACAGGAATCTACACGTGATAAAACTGCATAAAACTATACATACACATGAATGCACGTAAAACTGACAAAATCTTAATAAGCTCTGTTGGTTGTAACAATGTCAATTTCCTGGTTTTAATACTGTACTGTAGTTATACAAGATGTTACCATTGGGGGGAACTGGGTGAAGGGGTATAGGGGAGCCTCCTTGTACCTTTTTTTTTGCCACCTCATGTGAATCTATAATTTTTAAAGTTTTAAAATGCCTTACTTTTAAAAAAGTTCAGTGATTTTAAATTTTTTTCAGGGGAGAGTTGGTGGGAATACTTAGGTGTTCATACTGCCAGAAACAATTCCTCCCATTCTTTTTGTCTTTGAGGGTTTATAATTTGTTTTCAATTTTTACAAATTGTCATTTTGATGTGGTTTCAGGAGGGGGATGGGGTAAACACGTATGATCAGTCCATTATGTTTCTAAGAGTACTGGCCTAAGGATTTTAAGCCGGGTTGTGACATTTGGATAGATCACCCTGGTGGTTTCTTAGAAGATGGGTATGAGGGAGGGCAAGACTAGAAGCAGAAAATTACATTTCATTGATTTTAAGAGGCTTTTTTTTTTCATTTTAATATCTGAATTGGGATGTTTTACTATAACGATTAGCCAGACAGCAGTCATACTGTATTTGTCATACCTACTCATAAGAACCAAAACTTGCCAAATGGGTGTCTGAGGCTTGGAAGAAAATTCCAGAGACAGAAGAGGAACACTCTTAAATGCTACATCACCAAAGCCCTTGATGGCAGGCACAGAGGACTACGTTGTGTGGAAAACCATGGACATCTGAGTCAAAAAATGAATCATTAAGAATCAGCCTCTGAATGCGAAGTTTTAGGAACAGTGTTACCATGTTATTCTTTTCTATTTTCCTTTTTATGCATGCACGAGAGTGAAATACGATAATTTGTATCATATAAACCTACACTTCCAATAAACATAAAGTGAAAATTCTAAGTGTTAAGAAAGCATTGTGTCACAGGTTATTTGCTACCTTTTCTCTTAGCGGGACATAAAATAATGCCGAGTTTCACAGCTGACGGGTCTAGGCAAGGGCTAATAGTCTGAAGTTGGACAGAGATGAGGGGAGAGAATTCCTGAAATACTAAGAAGAAAGATCGACTCGACTTGGTGAATTATTAGAGAAGGGGTAAAGATGAACTGGGAGGAAATCTAGGATGGTTCCAGGTTTCTGGTTTGGGCAACCGAATCGACGTGATAACCTGCTTGAAGGGACAGGAGTAGGTTTGGGGGCAAGTTCAATTCAGGATACACTGCGCGAGGGGCTTGTTGGCTGTGTTGAAGTAGAGATGAACGAAACCTCTGCATCTGCTTTGGTCGGACCGAACCCCGCGCCCGGGACTCGGCCCCATAAGCCTTGGCTCTGCCTGGATAGGTTCTGTCTCCACAGAGCCGCTTGTCCGGGGCGGGGAGGTAGGGTGGAGCGCCGGCCAGGTCTAGGCGCCAGGGCTGTGCGCAGACCGCCGAACCTCCGCCTCTCCCAGGACTCCGAGTCGCGGCGACCGCGAGCCCGGACCCGCCCACGGCTGTCGGCGGAGGCGGCGTGATTGGCTGGAGCCGCCGGCGCCGGGGCCGTGGGCGGGCCCGGGCTTCAGGGACTGCTGCGATTGGCTGAGAGGCACCAAAAAGGCCTAATCAAACTGTTGGAGCCGCCCTTTCCGAGGGTGGTGTATATTTCCGCCCCGCCCCGTCGCTTAGTTACACAGGTAAGCAAACTGTAGTTTGTATTGTCGGGATGAGAGAAGAGCTGTGATTGGCCAATTTGCAGGGGCGGGGCGGGCTCGGCCTTAGCGGGCTTCGCTTCGGCATGACGCCTGTCCTGGGTGCCGATTGGGCCGCGGGATGTTAGCGTTCTCCAGGAGGCGTGGCCAGCACTAATAAAGACAGGCACCCGCGCGTCAACCGCAGTCTGTTTCACCGCAGCTGGGACTGGCGGTGGTTGGTGTTGTGCGTGGTTCGGCAGTTCCGTCGACTGCTGCCGCAGCGCTCCCCTCCGCCAGGTGTCTCGCCGCAGCCTCGGGAGAGGAGACGGACCCCTCCTCCCTCTGTCGAAATGTGAGTCGACTCTGCTGTGGGGGCTCGACACCTCTTTGCCAACTCTCACCGCCAGCGCCGGACTCTGCGGGACGGAAAATGGCGCATTGCAGCAGCTGCGGCGACGCGGGGAACTTCCACCGCGCGCCGCCCCCAGACCGGGCCACTCTCGGGGGGGGGGGGCGTACCCCATTCCTGCACCAGCCACAGCCAGAACCCCGCGGGCGGGGCAGGGCCGTGGGGGTCCCACATTCGTTGCACCTCTCTCGCCTGCTGGGCGTCTCATTCCGCTCTCAGTATAGAGGAGCCCGGGAGAAGGCAAAGGTGGGGCATAAAGACATCGGGGAGGGGGCTCGAGGCCCTTTCTCGTCGTCTGATTGAATCTGTACTTAGGGCCTATGGAAAGACAGTTATGGGTGCACCTGCCAGTTAGTTGCTTGGGTTGCCCTGCCATCTCTGGATTTGTGAATGCCCCTCACCCCAGTTGTGGCGTGTACCCCCTCGCCCCCCTTGGCAGTGAGCAGAACTCCGGAAACTTATCTGCCAGCTCTCTGGCGCCAAGTGAGCAGCTCAGAAAGACTCAAGGGCCAGTGGCATGTGGTTCCAAGCAGCCATTCATCTCAGGGCCACCCGTTATAGGAGGAGGTGTTTGCCTGTTATTGAGTCTTAGCCAAGTATTGGGAAGAGAAAGGGAGCTGAGGATCCCCACCTTCCCCCAACACATTCAATTTAGTCTCTGACCATCTTCGACATTACCCCATCCCAAGATCCTGAGGGAGAAATATGGGTAGACAAATGAAGTACTTCCCTGCTAGGACCACAATAATGGAGATTTTTCTTTCTTATAACTGCCTGGAGTCCTGGTCTGGTCCTAGATATATTTATGTTGTTTCTCTTAGTGACAAAAAAGGGAAAAGATTTACTTATGTTACATAAGGGTGATAACTATCCCTGAATATTTTACTGCTGAGTATTCCCAATTCCCAACAAATGGTAAGTGAAATGGTCCCTTCAAATGCTTCATAACCATTTCACTTTTTCTCTATTTGACTTTTGCAGTTTTGACTGTATGTGATATTCTCTGCGTTTTGACCAAGCCCTAGGATTTCATTTGTTTTCCTTTGGGGGAGGGGGATCCATCTCAGCTGACTGGTTCCCAGTAGCACCCATGTGGGATGAATGGAAGGAGATGGAGAAAGCATCACGAGGTCTCTGACCTTAATCTTGTCATTGGTGCCACCATCCTGGACTGCTTCCAAGACCAAACACTGGCTGCTACCTACTCATTGAATGTTCCACCTTCAGTCGGAGAACCAGATTGCTTAGCTCAGTAGTAGCACAAGAGTCTTGTGGCTTCCATGGCTTTGTATCTTTCTTTTGCCTTATTTGTGCCTTAGAAAGAAATGAGAAAGCCATTCCTTAAATGAGGATGAGTTGGGTGTAATCTGCTAGTATAGCCTCTCTGAGGGGTTATTCTCTTATCTTTTTAGACTGAAAGAGATTCACTTAGGGAGAAGGAACTTCTGGGTATTAGTTCTGTTATGAGTAGTCAAGGCGTTTCCTTTCTGGTGACTTTGTGATGGTTTAATCCCTAGAGCATTTGCTCTTGGACTGCTCCTATGAGGTATGTTTTGTGAGATTCTGCTTCTGTTTGAGGAGTTCTTTACAAGGAGTTCTTGTAATTTCTATTCTCCATGAAATTTGAGAGATCTCCCTCCTGCCATTGGGTTCTTCCTTGGGAGAGAAAAATCTCATGCCATAGTTTAGACTTCTAGGAATTCTTTAGGAGGTGAATTTAGCCTCCATGTGTTTGGACATGGAGAGGAGTTTATCATGAAGACCCCACATTAGATTAATCCCTTTGAAGGCTAAGGGAAAGAGAGAATGATCTCTGTGTGTAGTAGTGTAAACCAGGACTTCTCTGGGACATAATGGAACTAGGGGAGTCTCCTGAGACTCAGTGCCAAATCTAGAAAAGGAAGGGACAGAATGTCTATGATGCCTGTACATTGAGGACCATTTCCCATATTTTTGCTTCCTGTCTGTGCTCTTGGAACAGTTTCAGAACTAACACAATTGCTTTGGGACCCACTTCTAAGTGAAACTCCCATCTTCTCTGCCAAAAACAAAGCAAGTGAACAGTCCTGATTCACTCCACCTACATAGGCTTAGCCTTTGACTCTCAAGTTGTCCTTATAGCAGCCCCAATATACTAATCATTGTTGAAACATAACCAGTAACTGGATCCCCTTAAGCAGAGTCTGTCAGCTTGCACTTTCTTATTATATTTAGGCTTTGCAAAAAAGAGCTGTTCAGTCCATAGGCTTGTCCTGAGGGTTTAGTCTTCTGTATGAATTTCTCCTAACCTGGATTGGAGGTTTCCAGTCTGACTTTATGTGAAAGGCTTCTGACAGTCAGGGAAATGCCATTTAGGCCAAGGCTGGCACATCTGTCCCTGTAGCTGTTGTCCCAGAAGACATGTTTGAGTTTGGGTCAGAGGGTAGCCCAAACAAGATCTTGATGCCACCCTGGATGTCCCTAAGCCCTGACTAAATGTTGTTACAGGATCTTTCATCTTTTGCTTCTTGCCTCAGTGCTGCGTCTCCCTACTTGGCATTGCCAAGGAGCTAGAATCCCTTCTGTTTGCATATAACCTGATCACCAGTGTTTTGGTGGTATGGCACGAGAATGCACGTGGTCCTTTCTTGTCTCGATTACTTTGTGTACTCTGTCCACTTCTCTCCACAGGTCTGCTCCAGCTCAGCCACCCACCGAAGGGGCAGAAGAGACTGCCCCAGGTGGGGGTCCCCCTGGCTCTCCTCCTAATGTGACCAGTAACAGACGACTACAGCAAACCCAGGCACAAGTGGAAGAGGTAGGTGGAGAGCTTTTTCTCTGTGAGTTTCCAAATCATAGAAGTTTAGAAACTTCTCTTTTTCATAGAGGGGTAGTTATAGGCTCTGGGAGGCAAGGCATCCCTTACAGTTACGCAGGGCCAGACTCGTGATTCCTTGGTCATTGTTCTTTCCCCTGTCTCTAGTGGGGATCTTAGCGGCTTTGTTTCTGCTCCCCCCCAGGTGGTGGACATCATGCGTGTGAATGTGGACAAAGTCCTGAAGAGGGACGAGATACTGTCAGAGCTGGATGACCGAGCTGACGCCTTGCAGGTGGGAGCATCAATATTTGAGAGCAGTGCTGCCAAGCTAAAGAGGAAATATTGGTGGAAAAACTGCAAGGTGAATTTTCTTGTCCTCTCCCCCTTCTTTTCCTGAGCCTCAACTCATAGAAGGCAGGAAAACCCTCAGGTTCTATATACCTTCCCTCTAGTGGCACAGGATCTCTGCCCTGCAGAACTCTTAGGGGGAAATCGTGAAAGCCTCCTTGAGGTGCGTTACCCTCATTTGGCCACCAGGGTAGGCTAGAGTCTTCAGAATCACTAACTGGGAGCCATGATAGCCTGAGAAATTTGGAAATGGTTAGTCAAGCTGCTTTTCCCCAAAGGACCCCTGGAAAAATTCTCACCTGGCCCTTCCTCAGACACATCCAACATCAACACAATGGCTAGGGCAGATATATATTTAAATACCTGCAGCTTTTAGGAATGAGCTGAACACTTCATGATGAAAATCAACCAATTGACTAAAGATCCCAAGTCTCCACCTCCATTAGAGTTCCTTTCAAAACCTTCAGGCAACAGGAACTAAGCAGAAGGGAGCAAGCTCTAGATGGTCTGGTGTTTCTGAGATGCTCAGCTGTGGTACAGGGGTTACTGTCTGATGGGGAGCATGAAGGTTGGGCCATCCTCAAGAGGCCTGCAGATCTCCTGGGTGATGTGTGGTTTCTTTCACTGTCCCAAGGATGGAGGAAGTACTGTTCCCACATCTTGATTTCAGGCTCCTTTCCTCCTTCCCTAAATCCAAAGGCGCATTTTTTTGTCATTGTTTCCTCAGATGATGATCATGCTGGGAGCTATCTGTGCCATCGTCGTGGTAGTTATTGTAAGTAAGTATCGCTGAGGTTGCTGGTGGGGTGAAGAGGTGGGAAGGTCCTGGAGTCTTCTCCAAGCCCCGCCTGCCTGGGGAGTGGGGCTGCTCTGACTGAGGTATGGAGATGGCTGCTGTGGGATCATCACCTGGTTCAGGAGGGAGGAAGGGCAAAGACAACGGACTTCCTTGATGGACAAGCCTTCCCTCTGCAAGATGCTGTGGGAAGATGGTCCCTCTTGCTCTGAGGAAGTGGGACTGTGCTGTTTGTCACTGGCTTGGGTCAGAGGGAGACCATGGGCATGGAACGCCCACCACTGAATGTCTAGTAACTTGATGTAATTTGCCCTCTTGTTTTCTCCTGTCTCTTTCTCTTTTCCATCTGGAACTTCCTGATTGCTGTGTCCAGTCTACTTTTTTACTTGAGAATGTGCCACCCCTTCCCTGTTCTCCATTGCCATCCAAACTCAAGTCCCCTTCCCTCTGCTTGCTCTCTCAACAAACTTCCCCGTCTACCTTCCTCCATCCCAGCCCAAGCTTCTCCACCACCCATTCCTCCTTTTTTGTTGCTTTCATTTGCACTATGTCCCTCAACACTAGAAATGCTGCTCATGGCGCAGTCTTGAAGTAACTACCTGAGGAGCAATAGCTGGTGCCTCCTTGCTGCCTCCTTCTTATGTACTCACAAGTTCCCCCAAAGCCAAGGGAAGGGGAAGGAGTGTAGCTGAGGTGACATGCCCAAGAAGTGCCAAGATCAGGGGAGGAGAAGGGTATCGGTGCCTATGGTGTTACCAGGAAAGGCCAGGCTGCTGGAAGGAGGAGGCTGTGAACAGCTGGGAAAATGGCAGCTCACTCAGGGCTGCCCTGGTCACGTGGGGCTCTTCCCCTCTGCCAGGCCTGAAGAGGATCCTGGGGTGGGCCCAAAGTCCAGCTTGGTCTTGGTGCAATACACTTTTAGAAAGTAAAACCTATTTTTTGGAGTTATTTCTAATCTGTTAGTCCAAGATTTTCTGTGTCTTCAGGGATCTTACGGCCTTTTACTTTTGTTCTCCAGAGACCTGGAAAACAAGTATTAATTGTGAAAATACTGGGACTCTCATTCCCATCCTAGAAGCAGTCCCACAAGCTTGTAACTGGAAGGGGCTGTCTGTTGTCCACATTTTCTGCAGCATTCTGTATTGTTCATGAGAGCACCAAATAATGTGATAAAGCCAAAGTTTGGGACGCTGTTAGTTTTAATTGTTGGCTTAGATAAAGAGGGAATGCCTGTTATAGAGAAACAATGAGTTGAGGGCCTTATTTGAAAATGAGCTCGGAGGAAGCCACTTCTTGCTCCCTTAAGGAGGGTCCTGTTCTTCCATTCCTGTTGATAAGGGAGTGTGAGGGTGCTAGAAGTGAGGATCTTAGACTCGCAGGGTCCTTTCCTCCACACCACCCCCAAGTACTTGCCGGGTAGGGATGAGGCAGGAGGTCCTTCCTGAGGCCCAGCCCATTCCTAATATTTAGAGAAGTCGTGGGGTGGGAGGTGGGACAGTCTGTAGACAGGTATGCTTGTGTATTGCTGTGCTGTTATGGGGCCCTCTCATCTGGAGCCACCTCTCTGTTCTTCCTGCAGTACGTGCCCCTTCTAAACCACCCGTACCCATCTGAATTCCACTTTGCCTCCTTTCCTTTCCTCCTCTTTGCATGGTTTGTGGGTGCAGACAGTGGAGTCTGAGGATGGGAGCTACTCAGCCTGTCTTGGGGGCTACTGCTGGGCTTCAGGACAGGGTGCTGAGTGGGATAGACCGAGGTGTGAGGGGAGGAGGGCAGGCTGGTAACAGAACGGGGACACCCATGATCCTTTATTCTTCCATCCTCTGGAAGCAAGCAGGAAGAGGCTGCGGCCAGGCTGGGCTGGGTCTGGATGCTCACTTTCCATGCAGCAGCATTTCATCGCACAAAACCATCCTTCCTCTCCCTTCCCCCGTTTCCCACATTCCCTTCGTCCTGCCCCAGGGCAGGACTGAAGAGCTGGAAGAAAGCAGTCAGTGTACCCTCCCAACGGCCCCCCTCGAAGGTCTCCACTCTCCTCTGGGCTCCTCCTTGCCTAATGCAGGGGGTCACCGCTGGAGAAGAACCACCACTGTCCTCGATGTATCCCAAGCCTGAAGCAAATTCGCCCTCCTGGCCCACCCAGCCCTGTCATGGGAATTATTTCCTGGGTTTCCGTCTCTCTGAGGCTCACCAGAAGTAGTTGGCTTTGTTCTTTTGGGGATGTCAGCCCTTCTACTTTCTTTCTTACCCCTCCCTGCACCCTCCTCTGTGTCTTTGCTGTCCCCCTTCCCTCCCACCTCCCATGTGCATGAGCAGATATGCAACTAAACCCTGGGACTTTGCAGTCAAATGAAGCCAAGCTTCCCATATCCCCTCCTTCTTTGGTTTGCCATGAGATGATGTGGGGTTTCCACTGTGTGTCTGTCATCACCTCTTCGTCTTTTTTCCTAACCCCAATCTCATACTTGTATGGAATGATAACAGTTGTGTTTCCACCAAAGGCATGTGGCATATTTATCAATTTCATGTATTCTGAACAAAGGCAAAAAATACAAATTCCTACCACTAAACTGACTTGGTTGTTGTTTGGGTTGGAGTAACTGAGGAGGGGGAGGGGAAGTGTTGTTTCTTTCTAGTAGTCTGATGTTGCTTTAGGCCGGAAGGGCTGGCTTATGTGTGCTGTGTGGTCTTCTCGAGATTAAAGATCTGTGTGTTGGCAGAGGAAGTGGTCTCCGCTGTCAGCATTCATACCTGAAGCAGCCAGACTCTTCTAGGTGCTGGTGAGAGGAAGTGATGACAGGAAGTTGAGTGGGCATCTCACGCTAACAAACACTGCAGGTTTCCTCAGACATCTCCCATCTACGTCCTTCTAGGTCCTCAGCCTGTACCAGGGGCCATGCCCGGATGAGGCCTCCAGTGAACACGCTCTGTCCCCCGTCCTCCTCATGTACAGTTTTCTGCTGCCAGTTTCCACTGTATTGACCAGGCACATTTTATTTTTATTTTATTTATAATTTTATTTATTTATTTACTTTTTCCCCCAAAGCCCCAGTAGATAGTTGTGTGTCACGGGTGCACATCCTTCTAGTTGCTGTATGTGGGACACGGCCTCAGCATGGCTGGAGAAGCGGTGTGTCGGTGCGCACCCGGGATCCGAACCCAGGTCGCCAGCAGCGGAGCGCACGCACTTAACCGCTAAGCCACGGGGCCGGCCTGACCAGGCACATTTTAGAAATGAACAAGCAGAGAAATCTCTCCCTGCAGCTCAGGGAGTGAGGAGTCTGTAGGTATCCTGAAATACTCAGCACCTGTCTAAGGGAGAACCTTAACTGCAGCTCAAGGTTACACAGAGCAACTGAGAGGGAGCCCCAGGGCTGCCTCTGAGGGCCTTCGTTTCACACCGTGAACACCTTGCAAGTTGGAGTGGCTAGGCTTGGGGGCAGGGCTCAGCTGGCTCCAGTGTGGGGAAAGACAGGACAGTGGAAAAGCTTTGTCTCTGAGGCCACAAGGGGCTTTTATTTGGACAGCTTCAATATTTGGGTGCCGTGGCCCACCCCCTACCCATTTGCCCCACTGTCCCTCACTTGCTCCTTTCTTGATTTCTTCCCGTTTTCCTTTCCTACCGTTGCACCTCAAATCTGGCTCATGTTTTTTTTTTTTTTTTTTTTTTTTAACATTTTTTTATTTTTTGCCCCCAAAGCCCCAGTAGATAGTTGTTATGTCACAGCTGCACATCCTTCTAGTTGCTGTATGTGGGACTCGGCCTCAGGCTGGACAGAGAAGTGGTGTCTCGCTGCGCACCCGGGATCCGAACCCGGGCCCTGGCTCATGTTTTAATCTCCACCCGGACATCCTGCCTTCCTGCCGCCCTCTCCACGTCTTCATGTCTTCTCCCTTGGGGGTCAGCCCAGGGACACGATGCGGGAAGGCAGAGGCCCACAGCCAGTGCCCCATGATCTGCACCTCCTTCCTGCCTTTCTTGTGGCCTTTTTGAGCTCTGGGACTTGGTTTAGAGTCCTTCTGGGAGAACGTGACTATTCTTCCTTTTTACTCTGAGGTAGGAGAGTGGCTGCCAAGAGGGCCTCAGATCTTAGTGAGGTAGCTAGGAGAAAACAAGAAGGAACGAGGTTGGTTTCAGTTGGGGTAACCCAAAAGCCAGGGGCTGTAGTGGGGGGGCTGGCTGGAACTCAGGACGCTGGGGCTTCATGCCAGGTCTGGGTGGGGAGGTGGTCAGAGCAGGCTGATCTACACGTGATGTGGGTCGGGGCAGCCGAGGGCAACCAGGCTCTTACCTTGCCATATCTGAAGCCCCAGGAACAACAGTGCAAGAAGGAAGAGGCTGCTGGCAAAAAGGACTCCAAAGGCCATCCTCTTCTCTGTAGGTGAGAGCAGTGTCGGCAGGAATCAGTGGGCAGGAGTCCTCTCTGAGCCCACGCCCACAGCGTCCACCCCACAGGAGGGACAGAGGAGTGGGTGTGAGTGAGTCCCTGGTTGAGGAGCTCATATCGAGTGTTCTGCTCTCGGGAACTGGGCCACAGTACCACTCGTACTTGCTCAGGGTTGTTGGATGTTGGTGTGTTACTCCACACAGAATAATCTACCTCTTCCCACTGCGGGACAACATTTTTTTTTTTTTTTTTGAGGAAGATTAGCCCTGAACTAACATCTGTGGCCAATCCTCCTCTTTTTTGCTGAGGAAGATTGGCCCTGGACTAACATCCATGCCTGTCTTCCTCTACTTTATGTGGGACGCTGCCACAGCATGGCTTTGATAAGCTGTGTGCAGGTGTACCCCCGGGATCCGAACCTGCGAACCCCAGGCTGCCAAAACAGAGGGGGCAAACTTAACCACTGCGCCACTGGGCCGGCCCCACAACATCTTTTAATTGCTTTGCAAGAGAGATTTAGGTTAGATTAGTTGTTGGCAGTTAAACTGGAATTTTGTAAATAGCTGGGGAATGATGTGAGCTGAGACAAAACCCCAGTTTTTGGGAAGCTGAGTCTAGTGAGCCACCAGATAATGCCCAGTGCTCCTGGATATTTGCATTTCTAGTGCCGATTCTTTCCTGTTTGAAACCTTGCAACGACATTCTGTGGCTTCAGGATGAAATTCCAGCTTGAAGGCCCATTGTGATCTGCCCTCTAATAGCAGTAGAGGGTTTCAGGCTACAGGGGGGGAATCAGGCTGCCTATCTTTCACATTTTCTCTTTTACCACTTACTTTATCATCTGTAAGTGCCAGTTAGCCATCTCTAAGACAGGAGGCATGGTAATACCTGCGATCATACATCGCAGTGCTTGGGACAGTGTGGTTCATTAAAGGCTCCATCAGTGGAATCCCCCGTCAGACCTCTGAGCCACTTCCCCTTTCCCAGACACCCATGGCTCCAGCCTTGCAGTTCCCCAGATTCTCTTTGGGTTGTTCTGTAATCTGGCCTTCACGTGTGCCGTTCTTTCTGTCTTGGGTGCTCCCTTCCCCCTGAGCTAGCTAACTCAGCTTGCATGTCTTCCCTGGCCGTCGTCCCTGACTGCCTGGTCTGTCCCTCCACGAGACTCCTGAGGGCAAGATCAGGAATTACTCAAACCTGATCTCCAGCTCTCGGCACACTGCCTGATACCCTGGACCCTGGGGTGTAATGAAGTCTCGGCATGTGTGGTGGCAGCTGGGGAGGCTGCCACCTTGGGAAAGAAAAAGCTGGGACTGTGCTGTGAAAGTGCTATGGGAAGCAGAACAAGATGAAAGATGAGCTGAGGGTACGAGAGCCGTGAGCCCAAGTATGAAGGTGGGGAAAGGAGGGCATTCCCAGTTACCTGGTGGGGCAACCCAGGTGCTGGCCTCAAGGGGCTCCTCCAAGGAGATGTGGGTGACCTGGCAGGTGTAGGTGGCGCCTGCAGAGCCAGGTTCTGCCATCAGGGAGGAGGAGACGCTATAGGTGCCTGCTGTGCTTTGTCGGAGGCTGGAGAAGGAAGCACCAGAGACTGGGACGGGGGCTCCACCTGGCTCCTCTCGGGTCCACGTCACAGCCACATCCAGAGGATAATAGCCAGTGACGATGCAGATGAGAGTGGGTGTCAGAGCTTCGTTTGCCAAGCTTAGTCGTACTTTGGGGGAAGCTTAAAGAAAGAATGAGGAGTAAGATTCCAGAGGGATCCAGTGGGACAGCAGAGTTGCCTAAAGCCTTCTCTTCCTGCTGAGAATGAGAGGAGATGTGGAGGCTGAAGTTTCCTCCTCAGTGGCATGCCAAGGAGGGTTTGAGGGGCCCACCCTGGATGCAGGCCATCAGGGGGTACATCTTCCACAGGTAATTGAAAAACCATAGTAAAACCAGCTAAAGGTTGGCTTGCTTCTTATCATCACCATAAGCCAGTGATTTTAAAGGATATCAGTGATGAAATACTCCTCCCAGTCAGGGCTGCTCCCTCTGCCCCTCCTTGCTTTGCTGCTGTTCCTCCTTAGGATGTGGTCCAAAAGGGGTGATTGGAGACAGCCAGCCAGGGCAGGGCAGCAGGAGGATCCTGGGCTGGGAAATTTCTTGATGGAATTATCCTGGAGTCTGAGGGGAAACAGCTTCTAGGTTGGCGATGGCATTTAGGTTGTGGGAATACAGTCTGTCTCTCAGGAAACTGCCCCTGTATTTGGATTCCATTCTGGAAAACACTCCCAACAGGCATATCCCTTCCCCTCGCCCCAGGATGACCGCATCCTGGCCTCACCTTGGACGTGGAGCTGGATGATTTGTTGAGCTTGGTACAGAGCGGTGGTGATCAGGCAAATGTAGGCCCCCTCGTCCTGCAGGGTCAGGCTGGGTAGGGTGAGGGAGGCGTCTCCGGCCATGAGTTGCTGCTCAGGCTCCAGGGTAGCGCCCTCTCGCTTGGCCTGCCCCTGCCCCTCAGTCCAGCTGTACACCAGCTGGCCACTGCCCTTATGCTGCAGCCGCCACTCCACGCTGGCGAGGTCCAGTCCTGGGGCCCGGGAAAAGCCACAGTGCAAGGAGGCTGAGGACCCCAGCAGGAAATTCAGGGACGGGGTCTGTGTTGTCACCTGGAACTCAACTGTGGTGAGAAAAAGAGGAGTGATTATGGGCTACTTCTTCCTCAAGGTCACATGATCTCTGAGTTGTGGGCATACACCTGCCCCTGCCTCCTCCCTTGGGCAGTGAGGCCAGTTGAGTTCATTTCCCATCAGATGGAACCACAAAGAAATGGGGCTCTGGAAAGGCAGTGTGGCACATATGGAAATCTTAACGGTTTTGGAGGCACTTACCCCTGGATAATCTGAGGAAAGCTATGGACTTCAAACCAGAAAAATACACGTGCAAAATTATGGGTTCCTGTTGACCCCCAGGGGAGAACCACTGGAGTAGCACAGAAAGCTTTGGAACCCTGGTTCTTCCACTTAGTAGCTCTGTGACCTTGTGCAAGTCACTTAGTGTTGCCAAGTCATCTGCTTAAGGCAAGGCTGCTGTGAAGACCAAATAGGACTCAGAGTTTAAAAAGCGCACAATGTAGCATTTGTGCCATACGTGCTGAACCTGAATCTAATGAGGAAAACAGACAAATCCAAATGGCAGGATACTCGATAAGACAGCAGGCCTGGACTCTTCAAAAATGTCAGTGCTCTGACTGTTCTGGAGTAAAGGAGGCTAAAGGCACAAGACACCTAAATGCAATGCACGATCCTTGTTCAAATCCTGGACTTGAAAAGAACCCCAGAAAGCTATAAAGAACTTTACTGGGGCAACTGGAGAAGTTTGGACTTTATATTTGACAGTATTACTGTATTAATTTTAAAGTATCTTATTAAGTACGATGCTCAGTGGTGACCAAGCAGTGGTGGGGGAGGTGGGAACAGACTGCCCTGGAAGGGAGAAGTATTTATTGCTAATATTGTTCAGAATTGCCAGTGTAGGGTAGTGGTGAGAATATGTTCTTAAATTCTCTACACACTGCACCCCCTTATTGCCTGCACCACGGTAACCACTCCCCACCTTGTTTGCTGTGAGGTGAGGGTTTTGTGATTATGAAGGAGAATATCCTTGTCTTTGGTTATAAACTGACACATGCTATACATGAAAGCATTTGGGGTGAAGTGTTGAGATTCTGCAACTGACTTTCAATTAGTTTGGGGGGGAATATATATATATATATATATATATATATATATATATATATATATATATATATATATATATATATATATATATATACACATAGAGAAAGAGAATGTGGCAGTGTTAACAATTGGTGAATGTAGGTGAATAGCATACAGGTTTCATTATATTCTTTCACCTGTTTTGTAGGCTTGAAATATCCCAAAATAAGGGGGCAACACCTATCTATGCCAGGACTATGGTTGACACTGGACAGACATGAGGACCCCTCTTTTCCAATGTAGCAGGATAAATACAGGTTCGACCACAGGTAGATTTGAGTGTTCAGGGGCTTTCTAAGGATGGGACAGTAGCCACCTAATCTTCTCTGGACTTGGTCGTCTCCTTTTGGAGGCAAAATATTGGATTCGATGAACTCTGGAGAAATCATCATGTTCCCAATTTCCTCTGCCCTCTGGGATGTGCTGGGTTGGAGAGGGCAAGGACTGGGTTTTACTAATAAGAGATAATGAACAAGTTCTGTGTCCCTCGCTTTGATCTAATCATCTTGAAGCACCAGACCAGGCTGGCTTTTCACTGGGAGAAAACTGGTGCTTGGCCCAAGGAGATTCGTACGGACAGCCTACATGAATAGAGCATCACATGTCTTATTTCCTCAGGCAACCCAGTAGGGGAAAACTATTCCCATTTTGGGTCCTTAGGAAGAAAGGACCAAGGCCTAGGGGACACCTTGAGATGACCGATGTGGATGGAGGTGGACTTGCTCCCTTCTCCTTCTATGCCCCTATCTCTGACGACTTAAGAAAACAAAACTTTCTGTTACTTTTAATTTTTTCACCTGCAGTCTGCACAGTCCCCTGGGGGCTCAAGGGCAGGTTCAGCTTGGGGTGCAAGACAGCCCCATTCTCAGCATCCCTGAGAGTCTTCATCACCATGGAGACACTAGGTCCCCCTCCAGACACCTGCACGTTGGTGATGAACCAAGCTGCTGTCTCAACAGTGGCCTCTTGTCTGGCCTGGAGAAAATAGTGGGAGATCTCACAGGTCACCTCCTTCCCGCTGCAGTCAGCATGGAGCAAGGCCTTGGCTTGGGGGATCTGTACCAGGTTCACTGGGGAGAGAGAAGGGCGGCACAGAGGTCTCATTGGATTGAGAACACCTGGGCCCATGGGAAGTGGGTGCGGGTGTATTTGGGAACTGGGCTGTCCCAGTGGAGGGAGCCCAGAAAGACTGGGACACAGGGTGGAGGGCTCTTACCTGAGGCCTCGAAGGTAACAGGTGGGTCATCTTTGGCCAGTGTGCCCCCTTGGAAATCCGTGAAGCCTTCCAGGGAGCCATCATCCAGCACTGGCACCTGCCTCAGCACGAGCAAGGCCTTCACCATGTTCCCACTGCTGGCAAAAGCTCCACGCTGCCCACTTTCCTCCACCAAGAAGCAGTCTAAGACCACATCCACTGCCCGCCACTGCCTGTCTGCTGCAGGGAGAAGGCTGGGGTGAGCACCCTCTTGTCCAGAAAGTTACTTCTGTGTTCACCCCCCCCTCCCCAAACTGTGGAGTCCTCAAGGGGCAAAAGTTGTCTTCCAGGGGCCTAGCTATCTCTATATCCCTCTCTTCTCCTGTCATCCCCAAAACCAGCTTTCTGGGAAGCACCTGCTACTCCAGGTACATACTTCTTGGTGTGAATTATTTGAAATCTTGGATTTGCCTTGCTCAGAGGGGTTTATGTTTTTACTCTTATTTGCAACTATTGAATGAAAAACTCTCTCTTCAGTCAAAGGGATTCTCAGCAAAAGCAAATAAATGAGCAATAGTGCCACTGGGGGACCAGACAGGACGTTTGTATTGCTAGGGGCGTTGGCAGCCATCTTAGTTTCCCCGCCAGCCCACGAGGTCTCTCGGCTTTCTGCCCTTACAGGTAGCCATCCCCTCCCCCACTCCGGGGTCGCCCCCATGTGATTTCCTCGCCAGGGAACCCCTATCTATTCTGAAGCTGTCCGCTCCCAGGCAGGGGCCCTCCCGTAGCACAGCGGCCCCCCACCACATCCACCGAGGAGGACTCTCTTCATTAGGCCCCTTCCCCACCGAGTTCTCAGCCTCTCTCCCCACCACAGTGGGACCTTTGCCAGCCGCTGAGCCTGTGTTCCGAAGGGCTTGGAAGGCGATTGGAAGCCCTGGCCGGCCCCTTTCCCCTTGCGGAATCCCGGGGAGGGTGGCTAGCCGGTGCTCCCTAGCCCACGACTCCCCCGCCGGCCCTCCCCACTCACCGGGCGCCGCCGCGGAGAGGGCCAAGCAGAGCAGCAGGCACCAGCCCTCCGCGCCCATGGGGGCTGCTCCCCGGCCCCTCCTCAGCCACCCCCTTCTCCGCAGCCTCCCCGCTTGCAAGGTCCCGGCTGGGAAAGAGGGGGCTCTCCAACAGCCCTTGCTGCCCCACAGCTTGTCGCTTTCTCTTCTGTCCTCGGCCTACTTTCGCTTTCACTTTGGGGCAATGTCACCGCGGCTGCCTTTGCCTCTGGGTGAAGCCATTCGTTGCTGGTGCCAGAGACCTGTTTACAGTTCTCCTTTCTTGGGGCCGCCCCTCCCCCCCAATCCCCTGGTGATTTCAAGACCTCACTTCACCGCATGCACCTGTATGCTCCCCATCAACCGCAAGAAAGTGGAGATAGAAGCACCAGAAAGGGGGGCGGGGAGAGTGAAGCCAGAAGCAGGGTCCCCGGTAACCTGGGGACCTTTCCTCATTTTCTGTGGGTGCCACGCACACTCGCCCCCGCCTTGGGCGGGCCCGCACACAAGTCTGCACTGGAGAAAGCTCCTTCAGATCCCTGATGGTGAGATGAGGCTGGGCGTGGCCTGCGTGCTGAGGTTGGGATTTCAGAGAGCGAGCTGGAGAGCTGCAGTGTGTGGCAGTCTGTCACTTTATTTTGCCGAGTTTCTAGGTCAGCGAGACAGTACGCGGGGCTTTCATAGGCGGAAGTGTGTTTTCCAACTAGAGCCCCAGCCCTCCTGGGGCACGGGGGTGAAGCCGGCTCGGCCAGGACACACCCGGCCTCCTGCTTCCCACCCTCCACCTCGTTCCCATGTGTCCTCATCATCGCCCATCTCAGAGAGGCACTTTCTCAAGTCTGCACACAGGAAAGGGTCCGGTCTCATTTCCCCGGATGGCCAGTGGGGTGGGGTGGAGGCTAGGGCTTTGCTGCAGTGATGACCCCCTACTTCTCCGAGCGCTTGCTTTCTCAGGCGTAGGAAGCTGGCTCTGGTTTTCGGTAATCCTCCTGGATGGGGAAGGCGCCGCCCTCTTCCTCCCTGGGGCAGCTGTAAGGAAGAGGCTCTGCAGGCGCCACTGGACTTTCTCCTTTGTCTGCAAAAGGAGAATCAGATGAATCTTGGCCGCGGTGGGGGAGGGGTGAAGGGAGAAGAGATAAGCAAAGGAGGGGCAGCTGGGGCGGGGGGTGCTGTCGCGAGGGCAGCAGCTAAGAGGAGAGGAAGAGCAGGTGGGAAACCAGCGTTGGTGAGGATGGAGCTAGGGAGGCTTCCACGAGGTTCCAGGCATGGGTGGCAGAGCTGAGATGGTGGGGTGCGGTGCAGGGACAGGATTGGAGACCTGTATTTTGTCTCTTACTTAGTCGGTATTTTCTTTGTTGATAGAGGAACAGGGCTCCGACCACGGTGAAAGCAAGAAACATTCCAGAGAAGATCACAAAGATGCGGATGCATTCTGAGTTGCACAGAGACCTTTGGGCTGTGATAAGCGGGGGCCATGCAAGAGCTTTTGGGGAGGGCCTAGCCCTTGACTCCCCTCAGCCCAGCACTCCTCTCTCCTCTCCCCCACCTTCCTCCCCCACCCCCACCATTGGACCCATTCCTTTCCTAATCCCTAGACTCTGCTTCTCCGTCTTCTTACCCCTACCCCTAGGAGCTTTCTGGCTGGCTTCCCTCCTGTACTATCCTGTGTGCTTTCTCTCTGGGGGTGGGGAATGGGGAGAAAACTCACGTGGCCAGTGGGTGGAGAGAGCTGGGGCAGTCAGCTGCCTGAAGTCAGCCAGAGTCTGCACATGCCGGACAGTTCTGGCCTCTGGCATCTCTGGAAAACCATAGACAGGGTGAGCAGCAGCAGGGAAACCCATAGGGCACAAGGTTGGGCTGAAGGCCGAAGAGGCCTAAGAGGCGCTGGAAGGGATGGGAAGGCAGACAGGCTGACCAGACAACTTATGTGGGTGTGGGTGCTCTATGGGGGTGCTGGTTGGGGTGTGACCTTTACCCCCGTGACTGCACAAGGGGTTGCCTGGAACTTACTTTTGGCGTAAGGTAAGTGGGTGGGTTGTGGGTGTGGGCTTGGGGCCTGAGATGGACGAGGGGTCAGCGAGGGGTTTGCAGGAGGATCACACTCGGTGCACTCCTTGTCTTTGCACTGCCAGCCCTTGGGGCAGGCACACTCGGCGTTGGTGCTGAGGGTGCAGTTTCGAATGAGAAGACCTGGGGACAGAGGGGAGCCCGAGGAACTCAGACGCTCAGGCCTCAGAGACCTGCAGGGTCTCCCCCAGCCGCCATCCCAGGCCCACCTCCAGGGACGTGCTGCCCTTTCCACTCCCACCCCCTCCACACGGAGGCCTGCTTCTCCATCACTGTCACCCAGTGCCTTTGCCATTATTATTATTGTCATTAAAGAAAAACTTGGACCTTTTAGGAAATTCTTGGTTCAGAAATAGGAACTATGAAAAGCGGAAACAGCTTACATGATTTTCTCTTACTGATCCTTTAATAACTTCTTATCGAAGTATAATATACTTACAGAAAGATACACATGTCCTAAATGTGAAGCTTGAGAACTGCTACAAATTGGACTCCCAGGTGTAACCACCACCAGATCAAGAAACAGAAGATGACCGACAATGTTCTCTTCCAGTCACTAGCCCCCCAAGAAGAGCCACTCGCCTGACTTCCTAACACTACAAGTCAGTTTTGCCTATTTTTGTGCAATAGACATGGAATCATGCGTGTGTGGCTCATTCGTGTCTGGCTGCTTTTACTCAACTGTTTATGAGATTCATGCGTATTGATGAGTGTAACTGCAGATTCGTTCATTCTCATGCTGTATCATATTCCATTGTATGATTATACCATGGTTTATTGATCCATTCTACGGTTAATGGGCATTTGGGTAGTTTCCAGTTTTTAGCAGTTAGGAATAGTGTTGCTGTGGTCCCTGATAGGTTTTTGACTTTACTAGAGAGTTACTTGATTACTGACAGTCTTTGCCTTTAAAGTGTACATTTTATTCAAGTGTAGAGGTCGGGTGCTGGTGGCTGCCCCTCAGTTCCGCTGGGGGAGGTGGGTGTGAGGGGCACTGGGCTGGGCTGGGCTCACAGCAGGTTGGGGATGAGAAGAGGAGAGTGGTTTTGGGGAAGGCAGCAGCACCTGGAGGTGGGCCAGGATCGAGTGGGAGCCTGGTGGGCTTAGGGCAGTGCACACATGGGGCCCCAGGGAGAGGAGCCCTGACAGGTGGAAGAGGGGTGCAGAAAGGGAGGTTGGAGGATGCCAAAGACTACTATCAACTCCTAATGATTTCTTCAGCGAATGCCTTTTGTCAGGAAAGGGAGAGGGACACAAATTCCTTCTTCCCATCCGTATGCCCCTATGGCCTCTTCTTTCTGAATTCTGACTCGTAACTGCTGCTAGAATTTGGTTTCCTTGTGGCTTACCAGGAATTGTGAGCCAACCGGGACAAGGATCTGCAAGGGAGGAACAGTGATGCGGGGAGTGAACGGTGGTGGTGGAGAGGGGAAGAGGTAGGCAAAGGTGAAGAAGATGGAGGAGGGGAGATCGTGAGTGTCTCTGCCCAAAGGGAAGGTAGGGGTTAAAGAGGCTGGGATTGGTTGAAATGCCGTTGTTTTCCATGATGAGTATCCAGAGACCTCGGAGTTCTCTTCGCTGTGTATAGGCTGTGCACAAAATTCCAGGCTGGTTTCAGGCACTTCTCCATCTTACAGATGGGAGTACTGAGGTCCAGACAGGGCCAGACTCATTCAGCCTCCTCCCCATCACCTCACCTCTGGCTGCTATTCCCCTGGAGCCCTGCAGTTAGGTGCTGCCTGAGTGCTTTGGGGATCTATGGGCTGAGTCTCACAGAGAAGGATCACGGACTGGGCTGGTCTGGAACATAGCGAAGGGAGTGAGGACTGCTCAGTATTGGGAAAAGGCCTTCTGGTGGGGCCTGCAGAATGAGTGGGGGAGCTTCGACTAGGAAATTCCAGCCCTGCTGAGGTTGCTGCCAAGAAGAGAAAAGCGTCCATTAACAATCCTATTTTTAAGTGGACTGAGGAAGACTTCTTGTGTATTTAAGATGTTGCTCATTTGCAATGGCAAAACCTTTTATTTAGTTAGTTTTTAAAGAATACAGTATAAAGAGGCCTAGTGAGACCAAGTGCGTTTACGGGTGCATAGTGTAGTAGTTAAGTTAAATAGTCCTCAAAAGTGTCCTGCTGGAGAACATTTGTTCAAAGGGGCCATTTTAAAGTCTGCTACTCTAGTATACTGGGACATAATTTCTGAAATTCTAGCTAAAATGGAGAAGTAATAAAAGAATTCATAACACAGCTGCAGATATTACACTTCTTAATTTAAAAAAAGATGAAATTACAAAATAAATAGAACCACAGGCCACATACATATTCATTTTCCTAAATTGGCTTTTGTGCAAAAAAAGGTTGTTACTCACTGGCTGGTATTGTTATTTCCTTAGAAAGATGTATTCCAAGTTCCAAACAAATGTGGGCTTTAGACACAACCAGTTCATCGGCGGGGGTCGCTCAGCTGAAATCTGGGTCCTAGAGCCACTTACCCCTCTTTATTATCTTCATCCTAGCCGTAGACCCATTCTCAGCAGTACCTCCAGTCCTGCTTACCCCTTTCCTGAAACACTAGAGTTCTCCCCACAGCAGTACGTGCCCCGCCCAGGGCGCCCCAGTTCCCAGCATTGGCTCCACTGTGTAGCCTTGAAGTGACTGAAGCTCCCACTCCCCCTCCTCTTTGCTTCTCCTCACCCAGCTGTGCCACCTTGCTCCCCCGAATGCTTGCCCGTCTCACCAGAGTGACAGTGCCGACAGCTCTCACAGTGGGGCCGGGCGTGGTGGTCTGGTGAGAAGGAGACCCCTGGTGTACACGGATGACACTGAGTAGCCTTTCTGTGTTGGTCACAGTTCTTCACGAGGAACGTTCCTGTGAGCAGATGTCCAGGGTCAAGGCCCAAGGAAGGCCGCTTCTCCACCCTCTTCGAGGTGGTGCTTCTGGGGCACTGCAGGATTCCTCTCCTTGCTCAAGCTCAGACTCCCTCTCTGCTTCCCTCCACCCCAAACCCGGTCCTGTCTCCCGCACTCAGCTGGGCCCTAGCAAGGCCGCCTGTCTTACCTGGCTCACACATTGGGCAGCACAGTTCTCCCGGAGCCCGGTAGTGCCTCTCTGGACAGCTCTTGGGGGCTGGGGTAGCTGAGAGCCCCGCCAGGGTCCCCAGAACCCACAGCCAGCAGGGTGGTGGCCGGGCCATGGCTCCTGCCCAGAGAGCTCTTCCTGTGCTCCGGCTGCCCACTGCTGGCCTCTCTGGACTGGCACCTCCCCAGCGGGGTGCTGGTGGCACTTCTTTGCTCCTCCTGGGCAGCAGCTGCAGGTGGCAAGCCGATCTTTGATGGCAGTTGAAACTCTATTGTGGCTGTTTTTCTTCTCACAGCAGCAACCTCCACCCCCTCCCCCTTTTCCGTGTGCTGGGTGCTGGGTGCTGGGTGCTGGGGAGAGTACTAAAGGGCAAACTCTTCAGAAGACCTGCTGCTCTTCAAAGACGCCCCCTCCAATGTGCCAGCCTCTCCTCATGGTCTCTCTTGTGCTCCTGAAGAACTGAACCCATCTCTGCTTGCCTCTTTTACAGAATGTTAGATGTGCACGGTCACTCGCCTCTCCTGTTCATGTACTTGTTCACAGGGTGCCCACGTTGCCCCCCTGTTCACAGCTTACAAGCTAGTCTACACGTCCCCTCGCCCATCCCCACATCTCTTCTTTACGGAAGCAGTTTAGAGAAAAAGGGGAACCTAAAGTTTTGGTCCACAAACTTTTATCTGAAACTCTTGAGGTCAGGTAAGTTTTAGAATTCAGAATTTTTCAGATTTGGGCAAGAAACTAGCACCACAAGACACCCTCAGAGGGCTGGGGTAGCGCTCACAATCAAGCACATTTCTGCTGCAAAACTATTGAATGTTTAAGTGGAGTGAAGGATAACTAAAACTAGCCTTGCATCAACTGAGGTCTGGTTTTATGGCCAAAACAGTTTGCTACGGAATTGTTGGGAATTGCAAACAAGGGACTTAAAACTGTGTCTCTCCTCTGCTGGACTCTGCTACATATGATCTCATTTCATCCTCCTGCCAGCCTGTGATACAAGTATCACTCCCACTTGGCTTTCCCTCCTCATCTACCACCATCTTTATCCTCCTCTCCCCACCTCTGGCTGTGTCAGTGCATCCCTGGTGTCCTGGAGCACCCGGGGCATCTCCTCTCCCAGCCTTGGGCACTTGGGATTAAAGGTTGATTCCTATGGGTCATCTCTTCTGTATTTCCGAGGTTTTCCCAGGAAGACTGAATTGGGGATGCTGGAAATAGCTGGACTTTTCCCTCTAAGTCCTGGGCACACGTGGGTCAGACATCTTCTGCTTCCTCTTTCCCTAGGCACTGAGGGGTGGGGGGCCTTCTTTCTCCAGGCCAGTTTTCATTCAGGGGCTTTGTAGTTGTTTCCACACTGCTCATAAAATGTCACACCCCTGTGATCTCACCTGCTAGGTCTGTTCTCTGTCTCACTCTTCCGTTTCCTTTCTCTTCATTTTTTCCATCCTCCTGCTTTCCCCCTACCCCCTCTCCTCTTCAGGAGGGTCCTCTCAAGTGGGAAGCCACACATGGGTGTGATGTGAAGAGTTACTTACGCAAAACCGTCCTTTCCACTATCTGGCAGGGTGCCTGAATTCCCACTCAGCACGGGGGTCTGAGGATTTTCCTGTCACGAACAGCCCTGTCCGGTTCCCAGATTGTGGTCAATATTTTCACTGTTACTCTTGAACCTCAAGGTTGGCCCGGGGAGTTTGGGCCCTGTGGGGATGGATGAGACCCTAGAGGAACAATGAGGTTGGGGACCTTTAGGGAGAAACTTGCCGAAAGGGGAATAAGAGGACACCGAGAGGACTAACAACTTTGGCTGGACCCTGAGATGCCCTCCCATTTGAGGCCTCCATTCTCTGTGCCAAGGCCCATCTCCCTCCTTCTACTCATCACTTCTCATGGGGGAGAGGGCAGGTGCAGGTCTGCCTGGCTCTCCTGGAGTACCCCTGGCCAGGAGGAGGAAAGCCAGGTTTCCAGACCTTACTCTTCTCTGGGCAAATGGAGTGACCTCATCTCCTACCTTCTGTGCTGTTTGCATCAACTTCTGGTGAGCCTTGACCTGTCCTAGGCTGGATCCCTGGACAGTCCCTTCCTCTTGTCTCCAGGCCATGTGCATACAACCTGCTGACCTCTCCCTCGAAATCTTCCACCACCGCTTTCTCTTTTGGGGTTCAGCTTCTCCCCACACTGGCTGGCGCAGAGACACATGGTCTCTTCTCAACAGCTCCCTCCTTTTCTTGCATCTCCAGAGACAGGCCCACAGAAGCCCTTCTCTTTTGATGACTTTCATTACTTTTGAGAGGGCCAGACCAAACCCTCAGTCTGGACTGGTGACTGTAGCCTGGATGTCAGCTGGGTCACTCTGGTCCTGAATATCTGGAAAAGATACTCCTTGCCTTCCAGTCAGGGCAGGTCCTGGGCAGAGTGAGGAGGAGGCGGGGTTGTCAACTGGCACAAATTCCAGTGGGTTATGGTCACCTCTGGTTCTGATTCCTCTTTCAGCTGAAGACCTGTTCTTACCTCTTTGCTCCTGGCTGGTCCCTTACCTCTGTTCTGCCACAGGCCCCAAATTTGGGACAGAGGCTTTCCTCCAAACCAACTGTAAATGGAAGACTGTTAGGGGTGGCAAAGCTGTTACTGAAGCTTTATATATCCTAAGGGTACAACTTAAAATTGCATTTTGGATGTTCTTGTTCTTAATGGTCCTTCCCATCCCAGAGATTTGTCAGTGCTCTAGCTACCCTACAAAGCAGTAAGGGCACTGACCATCTTGCTGACACCTCTCTCTCCTCCTCCCTCCTTTTTCTGTCACAGACTGCCTTTCAGAAATTTTCTGTCAGGTAGCATACCTCGTCTCTCTTCAGCCCTGAATCCTAAACTCAATCTTGGCCCCTTATAACTCTATAACCAGTTAAAGTACTCAGGGGAACTAAACTCTCCAAGGTCTTTCTTTAGAAGGAAGATTTGTTATATTACATAGATGTTAGAAATCACTGTTCTTGAGCCTTATCAACCAAGCCCCTCAGTTTTTCTCGCCTTCTTCGTCCCCCACTCCATTCCTTCTTCTTCTGCTCCCAGTTTCTTTGATGACTCCCACCCGTGCCCCCACCCGCCACCCTTTAGACCCTCTTTCCCAGTGAGCATTTGAGAGACCAACTGGGCAGGACAGTGGGGTGAGCTGGTTAATGAAGGTCTGGGTACTCACATTCCAGTTCTGTAATTTGCATTCCTGGGACTCCTTGGTCTGGGTGACACAGGGGACTGACCAACTGTGGGCGTTTCTTCCAACCTCTGACCACTTTTGAGTATCTCAGCCCCAGCTCCTAGTGTCTCCTAGCACATAAGGCACTCAGTAAGTATTAGACGGTCCAGGCTCAGCCTTGTTCCTTGACAGTTCTATTCGCAATTATAAAATTAAAATTTCAGGGGGCCCAAGGCCCATTGACCTCCTCATTCATCTGACAAGTATTTGTTGCACATCCATTCTGTTCCAGGTACCAGCTAAGTAATGGGACACAAAGATGAAAAAAAAAGCACATGGTTTCTGCCCTCATGGAGTTGACACACCAGTGAGAGAGTCAGACCTTGATCAAATAATCTCAAAAACAAATGTCAAATTATTAGTCATGGTCATTATTGCAGCACCATGGAGGGGAGAGTCAGGGTGCAACAGAGGTGCCTGTCCCCTAATAGGGGGACTTGAGGGCTAGGGAGTGCTTCAGCCAGGAAGCAAAGTCTAACTGAGATATGTGGGCACTGACAGCTCCCCCCTTGTTTCTTCCTTTGGTTTGGGTTTCTAGACACCACCCTATCCTCCTTCCTTTGACCACTGCTCTTCTTCCATCGATGGTAGTTTGTCTTTTCTTATACACAGATGATATAAAATAGAGATGATCTGTTCCTTGAAAGCTTGGTAGAATTTATGCATGTGTGTATTTTGAGTGTAGTTTTTCACTACTGATTTAATTCAGGTTTTCAATTTCTTTTAGAGTCAGTTTTGGTAGGTTATATTTTTATGGGAGATTATCTATTTAATGTGTTTCAGATTTATGGGCATAAATGTTTAAAATCACCACTAGGTCTGTAATTATTTTCTGTTTTTCATTCTCAATATTGTTTATTTGTTATTTCTGTATTTTTTCTTGATGTACTTTGCCAGAAATATGTCTAATTTGTTAATTTATGCTTCATAGAACCACCTTTTGATTTTGTTGTTTCCCTGTTATTTGTTTTCTTTTTCATTTTATACACTGGTCTAATTTTTTAAATTATTTCCTTCCTTTCACTTTCCTTGAGTTTATTCTGCCATTCTTTTTCTAACTTCTTGAATTGGATGCTTGGTTCATTAATTTAAATTTTTCTTTTCTAACATATGCATTTTAGGCTATAAACGTCCCTCTAAGAACTACTTTAGCTACATCTCACAAGTTTGGCTATATTGTGTTTTCATTATTGTCAGTTTGTTATTTTTTCCATTATTATTTATTTTTGACCTATATATTATTTATAAGTACATTTAAAAATTTCCAGATTTATGAGGTTTAAAATTTTTCCTTTTTATTAATTTTAATTTTATTTTGTGTGGTCAGAGAATGTCATCTGTTTGTGTAATACAGTAGCAGAATGTTGACCACCCCAATGTTGTCTGTAGCCCTGGAATTGAATATGTTATGTTACATGGCAAAAGAGAATTAAAGTTGTAGATGAAATCAAGGTTGCTGATCAGTTGACCTTGAGATGGGGAGATTATCCTGCATTATCCTGTGGACCCAGTGTAATAGCAATGGTCCTTATAAGTAGAAGAGACAGGCAGAAAAGAGAGAACCAGAGAGGCATCAGCATACGAAGGATTCAGCCTGATGCTGCTGACTTCGAAGATGGAAGAAGAGGGCCATGAGCCGTGGGTTGTGGGAAGCCTCCAGAAGCTTGGAAGAGTGAGGAAACCGATTCTCCCCTGGAATCTCCAGGAAGAAACACAGCTTGCTGACACTTTGATTTTAGCCTAGGGAGACCCATTTCAGACTTCTGACCTACAAAACTCTGATAGTAAATTTGGGTTCTTTTCAGGCACTAAGTTTGTGGTAATTTGTTACAACAGCCATAGAAAACTAATACGTATAGATGCTCTGGCATTTGTTTTGAGATTTACTATGTGGCCTAGTATGTGGCTGTAAATGTCCCATATGTAGTTGAAAAAAATGTATATTTCTAATTCAGTCATCTCCAAACTTTGTTGATTTTGTACTTCATCGATAAAATGATTTTGAGCGTGTATCCTCAAATATATACAATATTTTTAAGTAAATTATATTCATAGATTATATATTTAAATATAAATTCTAGGGCCGGCCCTGTGGCTTAGCGGTTAAGTGCTCGTGCTCCGCTGCTGGCGGCACGGGTTCAGATCCTGGGGGCGCACCAACGCACCGCTTCTCAGGCCATG